AAACTGTCTTAATTTCATCGAATATTATAAGAAATCATATTTCCTAACTCATTAGACCATTTTTAACTCATATTTGAAACCTAGAGCTCAAAACTCAATCGGCACGTTTTACGGTGCAATCGTACCGCGGTATTTTTACCCGCGAAATACACTATTCACTGATTTTTCTGAAACTTGCCTGTCCACTCAATTTTTCGTTCTGAACCCATTTCCAGGGTTATTTTTACCATCTGAGACCTTCTACTCAATTTTTATCTTCCTAGGGTTGCGTGTTGGCTAATTACCGTTTTGCCCTTTCTTTGTATTTTGACCTAATCTTTTGGATTTTCACTAATCCATCACTTGATTGCTCACTTAATATTTTAATTACTTGATTTAAAATTGTGAGGTGTTATACTTTACAACATTTAGTTATCTTTGATATAGTAGCTTAAACAAGCATGTTAATGTTCCTAATTGATATTTATTTATTATCTTTGATAATTATAGTTCTTAATTACTTCCCTGAGCTACGATGATTTATGTAACACTCCCAAATTTGTAACAATTTTACAAATATTCTTATAATAACAGAATTGTCAAAAATCATATTTAATCATTTATTATGATCACATAAATATTACGGAAGCTAAACTAAAGCCAACTTGGGGAAATGTTACACCACACCTATAATAAGGACAAGTACAAGGCTATATTTATCATACTCTCATTCCTAAAATATATTCAATGTAAATATTAAAACTTCAAAACGTAAAACCAAAGTTTAAGGTTTAACTTAAAATATGTCTTATACAATTATTAAATCTCATGCATAAATTTTTTAATGTTTAGGCCTAACTTGAAATGACTGAGACATTATCCTCACTTCCCATTGCTAGCCCCAATCTTTGAAACTCATTTCAACGATAGTCTATGCTCCCTCGAAGGATTATTACAGCACATAAACACCGATAATAAGCAAAAATCTGGTAATCCCAATCCAAAATATAGTATGATAATCATAACCCAATCAATCATCATAATCTACTCAAGCATCAATCGAAATATGTCATTTCCATTATTAATTTTGTTTAGTTTCATTTAGTTCATTTACTGGAAAAAAAACCATGGTAGTCTCGGGAAACCTTATTGCCAGCCTACCCATATGATCTGGAAAATCTTGTTGCCAGCCATGTATAATCGAATTTGGTCATCATCAAAACATTAAATCCTTAGAGTGCACACCTCTACTCTAAAGTTGCTACTAGTACTCCGGGAATCTCTGTTTCCAGGTATCACTTTGGGATGAATGGATAAACATAATTTTCACATCATATAACATTATAAGCTTAAAACAATAACTGATCATCACTTTTAGGAGGTACTATCCCAAAGGTTATATTTTCACTATTATCTTATCATACACAAATTAGGGAAATCCAATCTTGTCACAAAGAATATACTTAAAAATTCTCTCAATGAATTCAAAGGTAAAATTCATATCACACAATTAATTATCCAGCATCTATCACAAGTAACATTCATATGACATATAATCAACTATGCAATATCTATCAGAGGTAAGATTCAAACCACACATAATTAATTATCCAACATCTATCAGAGGTAAGATTTATATCACACATAATCAATTAACACCTCAACCTACTATTATTAAGGAATTAGGATTATACCCAAGAAAATTCATATATAATAAACTTGTGATTTTATAGAGATTGAGATTAAACCCAACAAAATTTCCAATAATATTAATATGGGATTTATTACTCTCCTTTTAGATAAGATAGTTATCTTATGTTGTAGAGATAAAATGGGTGGGTCCCATCGTTGCATATAAAAAAGAAAAAGAAAAAGAAAAAGGTGAGGTGCGAAAATCGAAGTGAGATAACACGAGAGAAATTATCTTATGTGAAAGGAGAGTAATATTTCCCTATTAATATATAATTAACTTATGATTTCCTAAAGATTAAGATTACTGCCAATAAAATTCCCAACATAATTGATATATAACCAACCTATGATTTTCTAGGGATTAATATTACGCTATCCAGATCCATATAAAACTAACCTACAAATTAGGATTACACTATCAAAATTCATATAAAATTAACCAACGAATTAGGATTACATTATCAAGATTCATATAAAAATTAACCTACGAATTAGGATTACCCATAATAAATTCATATATAAAGAACCTAGGATTTCCTAAAAATTAGGATTACGTATAACAAATTTCATATAAAACTAACCTATTATACTCCAAGGATCAAGTTACCCTGAACTTCATGTTTGACGGCTTCCTCGGGAGAAGATTAAATCACGAGGGAAAGCGTAGTTGGCAGTTAAGAGAAAAAAATAGTTGTACCAAAATTTGAAAGGGTTAGGAGAAGGGAAGAAAAAGGAAAAGGGAAATAGAGAGATGTAGGGAAATAGAGAGATGTAGGGAATTAGAGAGAATATAAAAATGATTTTATTTGTTAGGTTAAGCTCCTATTTATAGCTGAGGTTTGTAACAAAAAAAAACAATAATTGCAAGTAATATTAATGTTAATCATAATTACTTTAATTATTATTAATCCATATCTTAACGGTTACAAAATTAAATAATAAAAATAACTGCCGAACGTTACAAATTAAATGATAACCAAAAATAAATGTCGAACGTTACAAACTAAAATCACCACCTATTTACGTTAAAATTTTATAATCAAATAATGACACACCGGTAACAATTGATGACAACTAATCTTAACATATAAATATATCAATGCTTATTCCCATAACACTACTTTATGCTAAAGTTAATATGTCTAACATCATATAATGATATACATAAGGGTATACATTAATAATTTAGGACTCATAAGATTCCTATATTACTTGTGACGCATGCTCTTGCGCAACAGTTGCTGCAAATTTATTCTTTTCCTTTCTTATGGTAGCATGAAACAAATAAGTTTTTGGCGTCGTTGTTGGGAAATGAAATTTACGAATAGAATTTCTTAGAGATCTGCTCATTATTTTTTGTAAATTTTGTGTTATACTATTGTGAGTTAATTGTATGCTGCATATAGCAACCCTCATTGTTTGAGTAGGTGATAATGAATCAATTAAGTGTTTAAGTGAATTAAACACATCTTTAAGAAAATGGTGAATGGTAAATCCTGTAATTGACATGATAACTTAGTGAAGAGTACATTTCATTCCAAACAAGTCTAATAGGACCCAGTATAAGTATGGAATATATTTGAGGACATAGATGTCGTTATGATAAAAGTTAGGGTTAGTTCGGTAATTGACCAAGATTAGGTCAAAGCTTGAATTACGTGGTCTAATTAAATTGTATGGTTAATTTCATGGGTTTAAAGTGACCTTATTTTGATCAAATGATATTTAGATTAATTTCTAAAATTAAGTCAAAGTAAGATTAATTAAAAACTAATAAGAAATGGTTAAAGTCAAATATGCATGTAAAGCTAACAAGTTAGTAATGTAACTTAAATTTGTGAATTCTTTACATGATATGCGATGCATAAGTGATTCTATGTATCCTTGGATGTTTTAAATTCAAGAAGGTCAAAGTTAGAATGAAACAACCAATTAGAATTAAGATTGATAAGTCGTGAAAGAATGGACCAATATAATTGAAGTTTGAATATTCAAAAGTGACAAGTAAGCAACTAAGTAAATTTGAAGAATTCCTTACATATAAGTCAGTTACTTAGCTTGGAAGGAGTTTACACGACTTCCTTTCTCTATAAGCATGATAAGAAGACAATTTAATGACCAATAGGAATTAAGTGACCAATATTTCTGACAGAAACCACGGGCAGCAAAATGGCTGTAAACTGAACGTTTTTAGGGATTACAATCCCACTTAATTCAAAGCACTTAGTAGACAACAATCTCAATACAATCTTAATTTATAAATAGACATCAACTGATGGCTCCGTGCCATTTCATTAACCTATCATATATTGTCTTCTAGTTATATATTGACTTATATATTTAACTCTTTCAATTGTTGGGTTTTTAACTCTTTCTTAGGTTTAGGGTGCTGCATATATTGACTTATAGTTATATATACATAGCGACTTTAACTACACATAAGCCTCTCAAGATGTTTACACGACGACATATGTACAGATGGTCTCAAACAAGCATATTCTAGTCTAACTACTCCACGCAATACTCTAATCCCCATGCGCCGGTTCCTTGCCTAAGGATCCTTCTCCAACGTCTATTATACCTGAAATATGTCCCCATAACGCAGGGTGAGAATGAATCTCAACAAGCTTGGTGTAACAACCCGTAGTACTCCGATTGTTACCATCATGATATTATAGCGTACACAGCGAAATATTTTATTGAATGATTAATAAAACGTCTTGTAAAAATACGAATAAACTTTTTCGAAAACCTTTTTGAAGCTTAAAAGACATATTAATCATCCGTTGACAGCTTGACTCTGCCATGGGAAGTCATAGCAGTGCTAACTCTAGTCTTAAATTCCAAACACATATTCTTAAAAAATTGTTTGTAAGAACTATAAGAAAAGCCTCTCCGATTAATCCTTAAAGAATCAAAGTCATCCTTCTAACTGAATGCAACAAAGGATTTTGAAAATGGGCATTGCTCGTTACTAGGAATTTGGAAATCCAGAGTTACGGAAACATGACCAATTCCAATACAAGGAAACAACTTACGCGCAAAAAAAAAAGTTGCCAAAACAAGGAATCAACTTATCAAATACTGCTGTTTTAACATTCTTAAATGGTGAAAGATGATGTTCCACATTCAACTTTCTAAAGTTATAATTTCTATGTGTCCAAAAAAGAGAGTTATAATTCCTAATATTTAGAAAACGAAAATTCAAAATGCAATGCAGAGGGCATGATTCTAACAAGACAAACTAACTAACAATGCTATGACGATATATAATTTTTGTTTAATTTTTTCTTCTTTTTTATTTTTTTACAAATAAAAATAAAGGGAAATCATGTCATTAATTCCCTTTGATTTAGTAGAGGGTCTGGAACCAAACTACATGAAACAAATTGGCGACAGAACTCATTTCCCCTTTGAAGCGAAACAAGGCTTTCCATGTATCTTGCAGCTCTTAATGAATCATGCTTTCCATAAACCCCAAGATCCTTTCTTTGTTGCGAGTCACTGTCATATAACACTAATCCTTCATTTCCGTCGTTCCAAAGAAATTGATTCCTTCCATAAAACCCCACAAGCTTGTAAATTACTTCTGTGGGTCCAACTGTGTATTGCTTAATCCAAGACCCTTCGTCCCAATAATCTTTCATCACCCACACATCATAGCGTTTCTCTTTTCCACTAACAGGGGACACTATGACACCAATGGTAGCAGATTCGTCAAAGGGTGCAAGCGTTGCTAATGATGCTTCTGAAGACTCACGTATTCTTGGTACTTTGATCTTTCTGAAGACTTCATGAACCATATCAAACACTACAACAACATCTTCTTTTCTACCAGAGTCATCAACAAAGCCCCACCAGTGGCAACAATTGTTCACATAAGTATAAACACGAGAAGAACCCCAAATTTCAAAGGGAAGTGGGAGATCAGAAGCATCAAGTTTTCTCCAAGAATTGGAACTAAGGCTATATAACTCAGCAGTCCAATAACCATGTTGTCGTTCATCAGTTTCCTTTAACCAAAGATCCTTAATGACAACAACTTTATAGTCATTAGTATTGGAGTCAAAGCCAAAACCAGCATAATCAGTGAAAGAGTAAGTCCCAATGGGACAAATAAAATGGGATTGAGGCAAAGCCTTCAACTGTGTCAAAGAAGGGTTCATAATGACATTTGGATTACCTTCAAGGAAATATATGCCATTGCAAGGACCCATTATTTCAGTCCAGTATTTGTGGTCAGAATTGAACTCACATGGAGGGTTTAAAACAAGCCCTTTGGGCTCGTTGACATTAGAAGAGAGCAGAGAAATGTAAGTTTTAAGGCCAGAGAGAAAGGGTCTGCGAATGACCAAGAGACGCTCCTCTTGGCTTTGAGAGTGCATGAGATTGTTGTAGAAAACATAGTAATTGGTAATAAAATGAGGATCAGTTATGAGATCGAACCAGGGCTTGCAAACTAACTTGCATTTCATCAAGTCTTTCGCTGGCAACCTTGAGAGGATGTTTGACACCAATTCTAGGGGCAAATCCTCTATACTTCTTACCATCTCTTTTTTTGGTCTTTGAAATCTGAACAATGCTATCTTTGAAATGCAAACTTTCTTGCTTTTGTTGAGGATGACAAAAAATAAAAGAAAGAAAAGGAAGAAAAAGGGAAGCATGGTTATGGTTGGCCTTTTAATTTGCTGTTTGGTATAATCCAACGAATATGAGTATGTGAGGGTGAAATAAAGGTTATCTTGTCTGGTATAAATAGTAGATAAGGATTGGATTATTTCGATTTCTCCCACCAAACTCCGTGTAGTGACTTCGTCGTAGTAATCCATTTGGTTTTTATTTATTTATTTTTTATTATTATTTATATTAACTTGATATTTTAACTTAAATCGGAGGTTAGTAATCAGGTATGTGCAAAATAACTAAAAAAATTAAACCAAACCATGAATAGAACCGAACCGGACCATCCATAAAATAATTAATTTTTAAAAATCAGTTCATGAACCGAACCGGTTTTTAAAGAACCAGTTCATGAACCGAACCGGTTTAAGAACCGAACCATTTTGAACCGAACAGTTTTCGAACCGAACTGAACCGTTTTCAAACCAAACAAAATTGATTTTTATAACTTTATTTTTTAAATTTTTAAATTTTTTTCTTTTCAAAAGAGAGTCAATCCGAACTAGTTCCGAATCGGTTCCGAACTGAACCGAACCGAACTGAATCACTTCCGAACCGAATTATTTTTGAACCAAACCGAACTATTTTTAAACCGAATCATTTAAACCAATTCGGTTCGGTTTTTTAAAAATTCGATTCGATTCGATTCATGCACGTCCCTATTAGTACCAGCAAGTGTTTTAATTTTAATATTTTAGTTTAATATTCATACGCAGTTCGGAGATTTAAAAATGTTTCCAAGTTGGCCAACCTGTATGGACGTTTACTGCTAAAAGATTCTTTGCGCGTTAAAATGTTTTCATTTTCCAAGCTATTATTTTAGGTGAAACAAATGGGTTGTTACTTAGGTGTGCATGTGCATCGACTTTTTAGATTTTGGGCTTAACGTTATGGATATTACGAAGCACCGAGGTAAAGGGGTTAGTTTTTTACCAACATATTGAATATGAAAAAACAAGAATTTTTCGTATCATGTTCGTGTGTTTCAGCAGGTCGTGTTGGACATCGCTACCTCTCAGTACACCTGGTCAAATCTTCTGTTCACGCTCTCCGTGTTTTGAGTTTAATTTTTATCTTACATAAATATTATATTTCCCCCTAATTTAAACCTTACCTACTAAAATAACTTTTCACAACAATCGAACTTCAAAATTAAATTCTATATGAAAGAGTTTATGTTAAGTTCATTCGACAATTCAAAAAGTCAGTCAAAAGCTTAATTTCTGATTTCCCTAAAAGGTGCATATGGGGAGAATATTCTTCTTAGCAAGTGATTGGTTTTATGATTTATTATCCCTCTTGTATTATTTTATTTTACTTTTTCTGTGATATGTACTAGATATTTCAATTATTGGGTTTTTAACTCTTTCTTAGGTTTAGGGTGCTGCTTATGTTTGAATAATATTAGGTACACGCTTGTATATTATATATTATCTGTATAATATTTATTTAATTATTTGATAAATTTTGATTTTATCACTTTACACAAATACGAGAGGTAAGGTGTTTTTTAATTATTTTTACCAAACTATTACTTATATTCAGTGGCGGACTCGGAAAATTATATGACGAGGGGCAAAAATTTATATTACTATTATTAAAAGACAATGCCAGTTTTAGTTGGATAATCTCACTAATAATACAAAAATACTTGTTAAGAAGAACCTAATAAAATTACATAATTTTTTGCCAATTTTTTGGTTGTAATGTCAATTTTTTTCTTCCGGTGACAAAGGTTCAATACATCCTCTATTTCAATGAGAAACTAGTCTTAAGATCCTATATTTTGTTTATAAGATCAATTTTTTATTGTTTACCTTCATGCTTTCTAGTGTTATAATTGCACTTTCTTTGATTTCTTCAGAATCTTATTTTCTCACTTAGCTGTTATTTAGCAGAAGACACAGTAAATTAATTAATGTGTTATTTATCTTTAGCATTTAGTCCCAACTAATAATTAATAACTATTATTGACCTTTTTTCTTTGCCAACAAAGTCAAAACTTAAATATTCTTCTCTTGAGTTTTGACATTACAATATGTACAAATTTTTAATGATTATAAAAAGAAAATTAGATAGTCAATCAATATAAAATCAAATTCTAGACAAATTTGATAGGTAGAGTGAATATTCATTACTAACTGAACTCTTCTTTGTATACAACGAAAAAACAAGCTTTCAACAATGTTATCTCTAATTGGATGCAATGGAACACCTTTTTTATGAATAACATCGCTTCTCTTTAGCCCCCCATGTAGGTCCGCCCCTGCTTATATTCAACAATGTTATCTATCCTTTCCAATGAAGGGAGAAGAAAGGGATGAAAAGAAAAGAAAAACTATTGTTTTATGGGTTTATTGTTTCTCCTCGAGATAGAATTATCTCTAGTAACTTTAAAACTACGTCATTTTGAAGGTTGAGAGCAAAATTATTGAATCGTAATATCAAATATGTATCGTGTATCGTTTGACCAGTTTTTTGTATCGTGTATAGTGAATCGTATCGAATCGTAAGATACAGAAATATAATTAAAAATAATTTAAAAATATATAATATAATTAAAATCATATAAATTCAAATTCCAAAATGAACCCAATAAGCAAAATACATAAGTAATTAAAGTGCAAACTAGTTATTCTCCTACTTATTAATTATTAAGACTAATATTATCACTACTATCACTATCATCATCTATTAATGACATAACTAATCCATTATCCTCTTCCAAAAAGAATCATTTTAGATTTCTTTAATTTAAATCGCAAATCAAATTTTTATTTCCTTTTTATATTAAAAATTATAAATTTTGATTTAATATTCATATCGTATGATACACATATCGTAACGTTCGATATAAATCCCTTTCTGATACATCCCATGACATGTATCGTTGGGCTTGTGAATCGTATCGTGTATCATAAGATACTGATAACTATGATTAAGAGTACTAATATATGGTATTTTAATAAAATTCATATAACAAAGAAACAAATAAAATTATTAAAATATCCTTCATTAATTCTCTCCATCCTCAAAACGATATAACTTTTAGGTTGCTAGAGTTAGTTTAATCTCTTGTAATACGGGGACTTGAAAAAGGGTATTCTAATATATTATAGAATTGTAAATAATCTGTACAAAGGGTTCTCTATTTATAGAGAATATTTGACCTACTTTTAACCTAATGGGCTTGGCCCAATACAACAAAGGGTTTGACCCAATACAACAATAAATGACTAAATAAAAACTAAATAATAACTAAATCAATATTATTTACAACACTCCCCCTCAAGCTGAGGAATAAATGTTTATCATTCCCAGCTTGCTAGTAAGTTCTTGAAATCTGTCTGAAGGAAGCCCCTTTGTTAATAGATCAGCCAATTGACGCCCAGTGGGAATGTATGGAGTGGTAATCAACCCGCTATCAAGTTTCTCTTTGATGAAATGGCGGTCAACCTCAATATGTTTAGTCCGATCACGTTGAACTGGATTATGAGCTATACAAATAGCGGACTTATTATCACATAGCAGCTTCATAGGTCCCTCACATTTTATTTTGAGATCATCAAGAACAATTTTCAACCACAGTAACTCACAAATGCCTTAGCCATAGCTCGAAATTCAGCTTCTGCACTTGATCTGGCAACCACATCTTGTTTCTTACTTCTCCATGTCACCAAGTTACCGCAAAGAAACATGCAATAACCAGTGGTAGAACGACGGTCAGTCACAGATCCAGCATAATCAGCATCTGTGTAGACTTCTAAAGATAGATTGCCATCACGTCGGAATAACAATCCTTTACCAGGAGTACCTTTAAGATACTGAAGAATTCTCTCTACTGCCTGCATGTGTTTTTCTTTTGGATCGTGCATAAACTGACTGACAACACTAACAGCATAAGCTAGGTCTGGTCTAGTATGGGCCAGATATATCAATTTCCCAACTAGCCGTTGATATTGTCCTTTATCAACTGGAGGACTCTCTTCTTCATAGCCCATCTTGTGATTCTGCTCAATAGGAGTATTAGAGGGTTTACACCCGAGCTTTCCTGCTTCTTTGAGAAGATCAAGAACATATTTCCTCTGGCTGATAAAAATTCCTTTGCTTGAATGAGCTACTTCTATCCCTAGGAAATATCTCAGTTTCCCAAGGTCTTTGATTTCAAACTCAGAGGCAAGCCGTGTTTGCAGAATCTGTCTCCACAAAATCATCACCTGTGATAATAATATCATCAACATATACAAGGAGCACAGTAAGCTTCCCATTTTGGGAGTGCTTGAAGAAAAGAGTGTGATCTCCTTGGCTCTGTCTGTATCCTAAGGTCATCATAACCTTAGTAAATCTTCCAAACCAAGCACGAGGTGACTGCTTCAATCCATACAAGGCCTTTTTTAATCTACAAACTTTATTTTCCCCCTTCACAGAATCAAAACCAGGCGGGATTTCCATGTAGACTTCTTCTTCTAACTCACCATTGAGGAAAGCATTTTTCACATCAAATTGATTTATATCCCAATTGTAATGGGCAGCAAGGGATAACAAGATTCTCACTGTATTCATCTTTGCAACTGGAGCAAAGGTTTCTTCATAATCAATGCCATAGGTTTGAGTGTAACCTTTGGCCACTAATCGAGCCTTATATCTCTCAAGAGTGCCATCAGAATTATATTTCAGGGCATAAACCCATCTGCACCCTACTGCTTTCTTTCCGTTGGGTCTATCAATAACCTCCCATGTTTTATTTTTCTCCAAAGCATTCATCTCCTCTTGCATGGCTTGAGCCCAATTCCTATCTTTCAAGGCTTCATGTACTGATTTTGGGATTGCAATAGAATCTAGTGCTGAAACAAAGCTTTTGTGCTGCACA